CTGAGTGCCCTGAGGGGAAAGGTCGTGCGGTGCCACAGCGGGGAGCGAGTTGGGCTGTCCTCGGAACCCTGGGACACCGAGACGGGCTGCCCTGGGCTTCCCCCTGGCATTCTGTGAGAGGGGCTGCCCTCCGCCATGGTGCTCCGAGATGGGCAGCTTTGAGCGCCACCACAGCACTCTGACAGGGGCTGCCCTCATATCCACAATGGCACCCTGAGAAGGGCATCCCTCAGCCCCACCATGGCACCCTGAGAGGAGCTGCCCTCATTCCCCATGGTGCCAAAAAAGGAGGTATTCTGAGCCATGGTGCCACCATGGCACCCAGAGAAGGGCAGTTTTCAACCCTACCATAGTGCCTAGAGATGTGCAGCTCTCAGCTCCACCATTGGACGGAGAGGAGCAGCCCTGAGCCCTGCCATGGCACTCTCAGGGGGGTTGCCCTCTGCGCCCTCATGGAGCCCAGAGATGAGCAGCCCTTGGCCCTGCTATGATGTCTCGAGAGGGTCTCCTCAGAGGAGCAGCCCATGGCCCCACTAAAGCATGCAGTGAGAGGAGCTGTCCTCAGTCCATGGCAGCATCCAGAAAGTGGCTGCTCTCAGTCCTGCCATGGCACCCTGAGGGGGACAGGCACACCCCTGCCAAGCTGGGAGTTAACCAGGCCCTTCTGAGCCAGAATTAAACAGGCCATTCTGGGCCATGCCCCTCTCAGAAGGCTTTCTGTTCTGACTGCAGATAAAAGCCTTCTCTTTGGCGCACTGTGCTGTTGGAACAGGGGTGTCCCCAGCACAAGCCACACAGCTGCAAGCATCGCTTATGTTGGTCAGCAGCTCTGTCAGTATTTCATACAGGGTACTCCTCCCAAGCTGATGGTAGCACTCCCACACTTTGTCCTGATGCAGCTGGACACACCTTGCTGCAGACAGAAAGAGGTGCTCGAGCTGGCACGCAGTCCCTCTGGATTTTGGGTCCCCCACAGAGCAGCTGCCCAGTCAGTTTCCTTCCATGGGGTGCAGAAAAGCCCTGACCCCCAGCACCAGAGGGAAAGGTGAGAATGACATGTGGGATGACACATCTCTGCACAGACCTAATCCTGTATTCCACACCCTTCCCAGGGTTAAGTTCTGAGCTACCTCAGAGGCCTCCTCCAGCCCACACAGCTCAGCCATAGTTCCTTTGAGGCAGAATCATGCAGCAAGAGAACGGTTCCTAATTAAACACCCACTTAGGAAGATGGAGCTATGCCATGGATTACATTTCTGATGGCCTATATACTCCCATGTGATCAGCATGCAGAGCTGTCAGAAGGCTGTAACTCTGTGTGGCATTTTTAATCACATGAAGATTCCTTCAAAGCTACCAGAGCTTGACTGCTGATGCTCTTGCCTTGAGGGAGAGTTGTAAGCTCATTTGCAGGGGAGAAAGACAGACAGACAGACAGAAAGGAAGAGGACAATTGGCTTAAAGTCGATTTTTAATGAGGCAGGATTTCTCTGGTCTATGCTTTGATACGCAACTTTGCTCCTGACCAAGATCCACTTCAAATGACAGAGGTGACATTTCTCTGGCACTAATCTAATTCTTCATCATAATTGCTTTTGGCAGAGCTGGCTCTGAACAGTGCCGCCCCGTGGCATTGTTCAGAGGGATAAACAGGAATTCTGGGCTTCTGGCTTCCATACATCCGCTTCCTTCCCTATGCTCTGCTCTACGTGGAAGTTTGACCAGGCAAAGCGGTATAATCACAAATCTGTCTGGGATAGCCTGGACAGACAGGCTGGCCAACACAGCTGCATTGTTTGAGTGATTTCAAATGTTTCTGCAATTTTCCCACATGCACTGCTTTGATGGTTTCATGCACAGTGTTTGTGTGCACACGTGGTGCTTTATGGGTCGATTCAACATGCAGCACAGGCTCTCAGCCCTGTGAAATGTGTCCAGTGTTTTGACCATGTCTCTTCAGACATGTGCCACATGGAACATCCTGCACTGGGATAACAGAACCTGTGGTATCACAGGATCTCACAGCTCCAATGCCTCTAACAGAGTCTTACAAATCACTCAGCAAAAGTTTATTGTCAAACCTCACATCCCCTGCATCATCTCAGCCTTGTATATGTCAATGTACCATTTTACTTTTTACCACATGTAATATATTTGATATGAGTCTTCTCCCTGCCAATTTTACTTCAGCTGCTCTTCCTTCTTTAATAACTCTCCCATACTACTGGCTTTATTTCCTCCTGCTAATATTTCAGTCTTGTTTCCAGTTCTGATCTTTTCTTTCTCCTTTTGATACCGCTTTATTTATGTGATCCTGGATTACTGATACCTGTACAAGGCACTGCACAAAGCCTGAGAGACACACAGGGTGAAAAGAGCCCACATTTCTGTAGTAGTTACAACTTCTATCCCAGAGTAACAGAACCAGGAGAACAGAGCTCATGATAGAGACATAGAAGGTCAACAGAGAAGTTTTATAAACTTACACTGCTTAAAGTAGCTCACCACAGAATAAATATCTATTTCTCTGCAGATTTAGCTGTGGAAGCAGAGGATCTCCTTGGAGACAGACAGATCAATGCCTGCTGAAGCAGCTCAGTTGAAGAAATAGCTTTGGGAATGGAAATTACCACAAAGAAGATTTGTGAATAGAATCCTAAAAGATACCTAATCTGGCCTTTTTCCAGGAGCTGTGTAGACAACAAACTAGGGCTTGAGAATAAGGGCAGTGTACTAAATGAGAGCATGTTAGGTTTTCGGCTAGAAAAGTTTACAGAAGCAGCTCAGCAACAGAAATACAACACCCATCTTGTGGAGGTAAAATAACATTTTATTTAGAGTTTCTTGAAATTCTTAGCTTCTTTCTCATTAAAGGTCCTTAATATGATTCTAGTGCTGTAATGAATTTCACTTCTAGCAACAAACACTTACTTCTTCCAGCTGTAAAAAGGAGAGTACAATTTCATAAAGACTATATATAGAAGTAAGATTTATAATTAATAACATTCCTATAAAATGGAAATAATCAACACTGAATTCCAGATAATCAGTATGCCAAAGGGAGACTGAAGCCTCTGTTCTGTGTGGTAACATTGACAGTTTCAGCTATAGCAGACATCAGCCTAAAAGAAAGTCCCCCAAGACTGTGGGAATCAAAATCAATTCAAGAGTAAAGCTAGAGGGAAAAGAAGAGTGTGAATATTCAAACATAATTTAGAATCAATGGTATTGGAAGGATATGAATAAAAGGATGGGAATGCTTCAAGGAAGTATATGAAGCAAGAGGGAAAATTAATAAGAAGAAAGTAAAGCAAAGAAAATAAAACCAGAAAAACAAGACAAGGTTGGGGGCAGATAGAAGCCCTTGTTCAGAGGTGTAAAATAATTTTGGCAAGTAGAATGTGTGCTGAAAGGCACAGAGCACTTTTGGAGATAGCAACTCTTGCACTTATTTCTAGAAAAATATGAACTATTAATCCTCAGACCCTCCATTTAAGAACTGAGCAGATGCACAGACTTTGGAAATGCAGTGTGAATTGTATCTCACAGTCAATTAAATAAGTAGCATAAAAGAGCTGTATTTTTAAATGTGTTTGGTTGTGTTACAAAAATGACATGTCCAGTTGTTTTCACTGAAAATGTGGTCAGGTATTGGAAGGGGTCATCCAGGAGAGTGGTGGAGTTACCATCCCTTGAAGTGTTCAAGAAACAACTGAATGTGGCACATGAGCCAAGCACAGAGCAGAGGCATCCAGCCTTGCCTAGGTCACGGATTTAGTGCCTGTGAAAAGATCAAACCTACAGTGAATCCACTTTTTTTTTTTTCTTTCTCCCCTGCTAATCCAGTCACCTCCCCTGAAGTGGCCGAGGTTGTTCTTCCTGCCAAGGGAACGAGGGCACACAGAGCCTTCTGTCCACAGAGCGCTCGCCTTGGCCCAGGCACAAATGGGAGCTTTTCTTTCCTCCTGCTCAGAAGGCACCAAGAATGAGGTGTTTGGCCATGGAAACCGGTAAGAGAAATGCACAGTTTAAGGAAGAGTTACAATAGAAAGCTGAAAAGTTGGGAGGAAGGTGGGGGAGAAATGAAGGAATAGGCAGGGACAGATCTGGGGGGCTCAGAGCCTGTTAACAGCAGAGTTTAATGGAGCCGGGGGATCCTCAGAGGCTGTGACCCTGCTGGAACTGCCTGACTTGAATAAGGAGGTTTTTAGCCTTGTGAGGCAGGGTTGGGCGTCTTTTGGGTGTTTGGTGGAACAAGGAGCCTGTCAAGGAATGGAGAAGCCTGGGAACTGCTCTGGGACCCTCCTCACCTTCCACGGCTCTGTCAGGCATTCACCTTCCACGGCTCTGTCAGGCATATTGGAAATTTGTCCGTCCCAGTGAGCAACAGCCTTGAGCATCTACTGGGTGTGTCTGGAACACTGGGGCAAAGAGAAGGTGTGGACTAAACACCAGCCCTGCTCCTGCAGCTGCTCTGAGACAGTGCTCCGGGAGGGGATGCAAACAGCCAGGAACTGAGGGGGAGTCTGTCTGCAGCCAGGGGCTCAGCCTGGACTGCTGGGCTGGGTAGGATGGGATGGTTTTCTGACAAAGCTTTAAGGCTTGTCAGGTGTGCCAGAGAGGAAAGGAGAATTTCCATGTGTGTAGTTCATGGTTCCAGCTTTGTTTATTCTTCAGGAATTGCTTCAGCCTCAGTAAGAAGGACTCACTGTTTGCAGGCACAGCATCATTTCCCCCAGCACACTGTTGTTCTTGAATTGCACACCAGAACCTGGGAAGGAAAGAGGAGGAGAGAGGGTGAGTCTCTGTCTTTCTTTTCTCATGCAGTTTCTCTTTTTAAAAGGTACTTTTCTAAAAAGAATATATTTTCTATATATTTCTGCTACACGCCTATATCCCTCTCTCATTTTAGACAGTCTGTGCAGAATACTGCATGGAATAATTGAGCTTCCCACCTTTCAGAATTGCTGCCACTATATTTCTTAAATTCCTTAAATTTTTAAAATATTTAGGAATTTGAAGCACCAAACATTTCCCTACCTGAACCCTCTTGGTTATCAAAATAGTAGATGATTTTCCAAACCTGAGTTCTGACAAAAACACCCACTATGGATTTTTGTACATCCCCGTGTTCCTTTCTAGAGTTGTCCTGTGCATGGAGAATTCTAAGCAAGTGTGGGGTTAATTGGGCTGGATGTAAGCAAACAGGCAGGGGTGAGGTGGCTCCTGAGGTTTGCAAAGGAAGAAAGTAGCACAGAACTCCCAGCTCTCATTCCCTTGGCAGACAAGACCCAGACAGGAGGAACGAGCTCCTGCCTCTGTGACCCATTTGCCTGTGGTGCCAACCTCCAAACAATCCCAAAAATCTGAGCTGTGCTGCTCCTTGGCCCGCAGGAAGGGTTTGTGTGGGAAGCAGAGCCATCAGTTCTGTTCCCTTTTGGCCACTGAGGGGAGCTGCTTATTGGCAAATTCGGTGGTGTGATCCGGGCCTTTGAAACCCCCCAAACCTGGTCGTGCTCGTTGTGTTACAACCACTGTGTGCTGCACAAATCCTGATTTCAACTTTGCTTTTGTCCTCCAGGGTGAATAACTGCATTGGATTTTCTAACTACAAATTCTTTCTACTGTTCTTAGCCTATTCTTTGTTGTATTGCTTGTATATTGCTGCAACAGTCTTCAAGTATTTCATTAAGTATTGGACAGTAAGTCATGAAATCCAGTTCCTTTTTCATCTCCTGTCAGTCTCGTGGGCTTCAGTGACTCTCGGTGCTTTGTTGCTCTCAGGCAGTGAAGGAAGGGGCTGCATTTTCCTGGGAGGTGTTTCCTGGGCCCTTTGGGTGTCCACCTCCTGTTAGATGTGCAAAATGCACAGAGCAAGAAGCAAGCAGCCTTCAGGAATTTCAGCCTGTAGATTATTTTCTGGCAGAGAGCTTCTGTCCCTCCCCTGTCCTTATGTTTGCATGGGTGTCCCTTGGAAAGTTTGGCATTGATGTGTAAGATTCTGGCAATGATTTGTACATATTTACTGAAAAGAAAAAAATGTGTCAAAAAACCATGTTCATTTTCTAACGCCCATAGGCCTCCTTTTTCAATTTAAAAAACTGAGTGAACCAAAGGAGGCTTTTATGCAGTTACTGCTGATTGTTGCTATGCAAGCAAGGCCAGTTGACAGCTCCAGTAAGACACTGGCTCTTGGCCTCTATTTCTGTCCCCTCTGCTCAATAACTCTGTCTGTTTTTGTTTAAGTACCTTTGCTGTGCACTAATTGTTCCCCACACACAGCCCTGAGCCTGGAGGTCCCCAGAACCTTCCTGTGTCACTGCTGGGCACCTCTGGTACCTGGCTCTTCTGCTGGAGAGGTCCCACTTGGCTTTTAAACTTTCCCCATCCATCTGTGCTCAGTTCTAACTCCCCCTCATAGCTGCAGATGTGGAGGGCAGGTTTCTCTGGGCTTACCTTGAGCAAGGTGCAGAATTTTAATGTATGCACAGGAAACTCAGCAGACCTTAACGAGGGCTTCAAGAGCTCATGCTCATTTCCCAGGGTGTTCCTCATGCCCACCTGGGCAGCTGTGGTGGGCTGGCTCTGAACCATACCAAGAGTTAATAACATCCCCCACTCTTTGTGCTGTGGTACAGGAGGGGAAATGAACCACATTCATTTCTTTGTCTCTTTTTGCTTTTTATAGTAAGGTTGAATTTTGTCTGTAAAAGTTTGAGAACTCCCAATAGGAATTTTAGAATTGTATTTCTAAGTACAAATAATTTCCATCCTTAATTTGTTCCTGTCACTTGTTCTGTGTTGCTTTCCTTTCCAGGGTGAGCTGACTAATGGACGTTCCAAATTTCACATCCTTTTCCTTCTCTTCGTGGCAATCATGTTCTTTGTAAGCCTCATGTTTCTGTTTGGCTACCACTGCTGGCTCGTCAGCAGGAACAGATCCACTCTAGGTAAGGCTCTTCTGCCTGTTCCTTCTAGTAAGACACACTAAAGGTTCTGTAACAAGGAAAAGAAAGAGAAGAAAAAGGGCATTTGTTCTATTTCTGTACATTCCTGCTGGTTTATGAGGGGAGGAAGATTTAAGATCTTGGTACAAGCTGCAGAAATTTGTCATTGCAAATGAGCTGCATTTATTAGCTGGTGTGACAAAAGCTTTGTTAGGGAAACCAGAGCCTTAAAGTGTAGAAGTCCAATTATAGAAGTGTGTGTTATGCATATGTAAAATGACATTTGCTGTGAAATGAGTGCAGCTTTTCAGGAATAAGGGTTTGTTATACTCCTGTGATGGGGTACATCCCAACCAGCTTGGTGAGCTTGGGAAACACAGTGTCCATCTTTACTGATAAAGGCAAAGAAGTTGTGACTGTAGAACCAAAGAAATTATCATCTAAAATAGTATCATTTTACCAAAAATTCTTTGCCTTTCCTCAGATAAATGTTCAACTTTCAAAGCTTTTGGGATGAAGTTTTGTAACAAAACAGACACGATCAAGAGTGAATAAATATTCTGATTTTATCTAGTTCTTTACCTCAAAAGTAATTTTATGGGGCACTGAAGCTCATCTATCCCAAAACATCAGACCTGTGCAGCAGTTCCTTCCTGAGAAGGAAGATCAAGCTGTTCCTAAGGCACTCAAGGTTCTTCTCTCCTCTCTTTTCTTAATTTTATGCCTCACCAGAACCCAGAGTTTATTTGCAGTTGTTTGTCCCTAGTGCTTGCTCATTGTTACATTATTGAGTGAGGTGATTTAAATCTGCAGTGCCACTTCTGGAATATGCATTGAAGGCCAAGCTACTTCATTCTGCACAGGTTTTTTTACCTAGAAACTTTTACCCTCTGAATTTCATCAACTCTCAGAGAAACATCTTTTAACTCTATCCTCTGGATGAAACAACCCATTGTGGGTTGGTTTGACTCTTCTCTAGGTTCAGTTGCACAACCAAATTCCTGTCTTCAGTTGGAAAGTCTTTACAGGCTTTGCAAAATGGGAAAAAAACCATTATTTTGAAACTTTGTAGTGCTGTATCTCTATAATCCATTAAATCACGTTGTTTTTAGATGGCTACAAGATGAACAACCCTGTTTTCAGAGTGTTTGGCATTGATTTTCATTTTTTTTTTCTCTACTGAAATTGCCTCTGTTTGCAGAGGCTTTCTCAGCTCCAGTGTTTCAAAATGGCCCAGATAAAAATGGATTCAATCTTGGCTTTGTGAAGAATCTCCAGCAAGTGTTTGGGGAAGAAAAAAAACTCTGGCTGCTGCCTATTGCCTCTAGGTAAGTAACCCTACTAAAAGCTAAAGTGCTAAAAGCTGATATAATTATAGTTTTTCACATTTTGTGTATGGGTTTAGGTCACAGGAAAGTGAGATTTTTATGTATCTTTCAGTAAAAGTGGGGACATTTTCTCTTGGGTGTCAGCCAAACATAAGTGAGATTTCTGCCTTGAATTTGTGGGATAAAATGATAAAATTTATACCTATTAATTGCTTCTTTTTCTTAAATGTTTTCCTTAGTTCCCCTGTCACTTCTAACTATCCACAAGTTAGTTTCTCCAGGTTTTTTTTTCTGTATTCAAATGACTTGATCGAATTAACACATTTACCTTCTGCTAAAAATTGCTTGATTCCAGGCCACAAGTTTCAACTTTTGTACTCCAGAGACCTTGAAAAAATTGAGAACCAAAATGAAATATAAACATGGTACTTTTCAAAGCTTAAAGATTTTAAGTGAACATGGGAAGTACTGGCAACAGAAAGCTTGGCAGAAACAATGTAGGGAAATTGTCATCTTTTAGAGTCCCTTGCTGCTTTTGCAGTGTCCCTCTCTGCCTTTCTCCTTGCAGCCAGGGGGATGGACATTTTTTCCCAATGAGAGCCTTGAGTGAAGCTCGGAACCCTCTCCTGATAAATGAGGAGCAGTGGGAAGAGGATGGAATAGATGAAGAGCCTCAGGGTAAGGAAATCAGTGAAATTAGTTGTCCTGACCTACAGTGGCCAGTAGATGAATTATAAGAGCTAATCAAATTTAAAAACTGTGTTGGTTAAGTCTCTGGGTAGCTCTGACTTGATTAATGAGCACAGACTAAAAATAAGCTCTGCTTTGGAAAAAATTCTTTCTTTTTTTTTAGCAGCTTTCTACTCACAAGTGAATGAACTTAGAGGGTGTTTCAAGGATTAGAGAAACTGAAGTTGCTACAAACTGAGAGGATTTACATGTAAATGTTGCTGCATGCAGCACAATTATTTGGGATGTAAAGTGGTGCCTGGCAAGAAGGAGGATATTTAGATTTTTTAAAGTGTATTTATCCTCTGAGAGTGTGTGAAAACAGGCATGCAAACACCTGAGTGCAGGGATACATTTAGGAAGCTGCTTTATAATTTATCCAGCTTTTTTGCCAGAGTAAATTTACCTGCTCTTCCTGGCTGGTTCTATACATTTTGGTACTTACACAAGGAAACACAAACAAGTTTTGAAACCATCAAAATTCCTGTGCATTTTTGTCATTCCTGTGGATTTTTAATGATGCTTAAAATAACTCCTTTAGGAATGAGTCAGAGCTTATTCCAATTTTTACAAACTTTAAATTATCTGAATAAATAATTAATTCTTCCATATGAGTACAGTGACACTGAGGTGATTTTTGGCTAGATCAGAGCCCAGATTATGGTTAGGAGCTTATATAAAGTCTCCCAGTTTATAGTGCTTATAAAATAAGTGACATTTCCAGGCAGTTGGATGATCACTGTGGGTCCTTTCAACAGAAATATTCAGATTCTTTCTTACACAACAGAGCTAAACCAGTAAAAATGTCTTACCAGAAAGACCTGAAATGTTCCATTAAAACTGCAAGACCTTTATTTGTCTTTGTGGCTTTTTAAAGCTTGTGACTTGGTTATGAAATAAATAAGGCAAATAATAGAGTAATCTCAGTTAAAAACAGCTGTTCAGTTCCCTCTGACAAGTGGTTGTCTATTTTTGTATGTAATTATCCTTAAAAACACAATTCCATGCTTAGTGAAAAAATGTATTCTCAGTGAGAAAAACACTAACCTCTAACACTTTACCTCTAACTGCTTTGGTTTTCACAGGCTCTGGTGAAGCCTCATCCCTCGCCATAGAAAGGGAGACATAGCAGTGTGAAAGCACAGTGGTGTAAAGCTGGATCAGAAAGGTCAGTGTTTCTTTCTCTGTTTCTCTCAAAACCACTGCTCTGCAGGGCGTGGGGAGGTGATGTTGGACAGGTTTGGGCTTTAGCAGAAAAATATTTCTCCAGTTTGCCCAGAAATCCCTCGTTCATGGGGCCCTGAAGGGAAGCTGAGGCTCTCAGTGGCCCTGGGCTGGGTGCTGGCACAGGTGACACCAGAGCCACCAGCACTCCCCAAAGGGAAGGACACCAACCCTGCAGCTCCTCTGGAAAACAGGGCAGGAAGGACCCTTGCAGTGACTTGGCCAGTGACAAGATGGAAATTCTGGGATCCAGGGGAGGTGTGGGAAGGTGCAGGTGCAGTGTTGAACTGAAGCTGAGCACAGCCAGGTGGCAGCTGGGAATACAAGGAAGTGCCTTGTAATGTCACATCAGCTGTCACTCTTCTCCAGGCTTTCCCTCCCCCTGGAAAAGGTGACAACAGCTGACACCAGGTGCTTCCAGAACATTCCCTGCTCTGCCCCCTCTTCTGACTTGGAGAACAGGGCAGATGCCCCACACACACATCCTGCCCCAGGAGCTGCAGACAGTGAGGAGGACACAGTGTCCTGTTGTCCCAGGGGAATGTAACTGACCGAGATTCCAGGAGCATCCTCTGCTGTCCCCCGACTGGAGGTGGAATTGCCAGGTGGAATTTGCCCCTCTCAGTTCCAAGGCAGTCAAAAACTGGTGTGACAGAGCACTGCAACCCCTGCCTGGCTCCCCTGGCACACAGGGCCCCTCCACACTGCTACCAATGGGCTTCTGGCACCTTGTAGAAGTGCACTAAGAAAAACCCCAGAGTATTTTTCTGTCAGCAGTGAGGGCTGCATCCTGCCAGCCCACCAGGGCAGGCAAAATCAGCATTTTCTTGTTGTTCGTCATGGCTTTAAAATGACTCCCAAAGCCCAGATCAGCCCTCAATCCCTCATAAAAGCAGTGCTATGGTTGCACATTTGTATTTCTTTAAATTTCAGCTTCCCTCTCAGGAGCCAACATCCCTTCTCTTGGCAAGGACTTCAGTTTTGAGGGTCAGAAAACAGGTGGATCTTCAAGATGAAAAAACATCCTGAAGTATTGTCTGATGGGAATCTGCATTCTAGAGTGCTTCTCCAGGAATCCTGCTGTCCAGATGTCCCAAGGCTTTATAAGTTTAAGTTACAGACTTAACAGAACAATTTTACAGAGTGATTCTGGCCAATCTTCTTTGGCCTGCTCTCTTTATTTTATAAATACTATATATTTTTTATTCAAAACAGGTAAAAATGTTGATGCGAGTGCATTTCCAAAGGCCTTTTCATTTTGCAAACATCAGGGACTCGAGCTCTTGAAATTCTTGCAAGCCATAATATTCTTGGGGATGGTTATTTATTTTGAGGCTGATTCTCCAACCTTCTCTGACAAGTGACATTTTCTAATGTGTTTAAATTCTAAGTCAGTCAGATCAGCTCAATGCAAGACAGACCCAGTTAAATCTGGCACTAAATTGGTAGCTGAATGTAAGAATATTGAAAGCAAAAGCGCTGAACATGCACAGGTACATGTGCAGCTGTGAATGAAAATAAAATATTCACATTGCCAGTATCAAGATTCAAGAATATTGTGGCCATAGATTTTTTTAAACTGTTTTTTAGGGGGGTGTTATTGTCTTAGAGTTTGAGTAATAGTGCTTTTGAATCCTAATTGCAGGCTCCTAAAATGCAAAAGGGAACTTCAGACAGTCCAATTTGCATTAATTCCTAGGGCTAAAATGTTATCTCATTCCTGGATCAGTGTTTGATGGAGATTTGTGTGTTCATGGAGTCAGAAAGGAAGATGTGAGTTCGAAATGTGCACTGAAAGTGTGGCTCCATGAGTCGTGTTTGGAGTTTACACTCCTCAGGGGTGGTTTGAACCCCAAAATGTTGAAGACACAATTGATATATTGAATTTTATCAGATTTCTTCCCAGCTCAGTGCACTGACTGGCTTCAGGGGTTTCTGCACTAAGAGGTGATCAGATTTGTTTCTGCATTTTGCTGCATTTACAGTCGAAGAGGTGGATCCCTGTTTTTGTTCTGGGGAATGGAACTGAGACTTGGCTGGCTGGATTATGGACATTTTTCTAGACCTGAGTCCTTTTTTTTATTTGCATGATTCAGCCCAGTCCATCATTCTTGTTTGAATTAGGTGCATGCTAAAAGTATTGGTGTACTGCCTCTAAGATCATTTAGTACCATTTTCTATCCCATTTTTGTGTTTAACAGCCCATTGATGTTGGCAGTGGCTACAGGAGCAGGAGCTGCTGAGTGAGTTTGGTGATGGAGGCTTTTCTTGCAGACTAAACCCCTCTTTCCTCTGTTCCTTTGCTGCTGCTGCCACAGGGAATGTGTTTGTGAGCCAGGAGAGCCTTGCAGAGGTTCCTTCCCTAAGAAAAGGTGTTTAACTCCTGGTTGATCCGCGCCCTGTGGGTGGGAATTTTGTCCTCAGCCTCTGCAGTTTGTGTGGAGCAGGCATTGCTGACCTCTCTGCGATGTCTCGCTGCTGAATTTGGTTTGAGGGGCCAAGGTGGGCTGGCCCAGGCTTGTGTGGCTTTGTGTCTCTCCTCAGGGTGGCCCTGAGCACTGAAAATGTTCCTGCTTCAGCCACCTGAGCCCCATCTGTTGAGTGGGTTTGTCACCAAACTGCTGCTGAGTGCTGGAAGGGTTTTTCCTGTCAATCTGAAGCTGCATTTCTAATGTGAATCTGGTGTTGGACCTTGTGCTGTGTGTGATGCAATGTGGCAGCTGAATTAATCCCCTCATTCCTGGCAAAATGTGCTCTGGAGAGGGAGCTTGAGAGGATGATGGCAGCTAAACACAGCCAGAATTTAGCACCTACAGAGGTGCTATTTGTGCCTTTAAAAACTTTAAATTCCTTGTACCACGAAGATGATTTGGTGACTTTGTTTCATCCTGTCAGCTGAAGTGTATTTTTCCAGAGGTTGTGTGGATTTCTGAGCAGGTTCTTGTGCCCTTCTTGGGCTTGGTTCTGGTTCCAGCCCTGTCATTATTTGAGTTCTTTGTGTGCCAGGCAGCAGCAGCAGAGCTGTGCAGGAGCTCCCTGCCTGTTCCTGCTGCTGCACTGCTCATTAGGGAGTACAGAAAATCAGGCTTTGTCTTCTAATACTAAGCCAGGTATCTTCATGATGGTACAGGTACCAAGCTCAGTTTAAGAAAGGTTTTTAAATGTTTCCAAGTAACTTTTATTGAGTCACTTTTCTTGTAATTAATTAAGGTCATCTCTTCCCTTTCCTTCAAAGCAACTAAAAGCCTCCCATGGTTGTAACAAGCTCTTGTCCAGGTGGAAACAATAGAGAGTTTATCACTTCAGAGCCACTTCTCAATATCCACACGTCAGATGCTGGAAGGCTTCATGAAATATGAAACAAACCCAAAAGTTGTGTAAAATGAGGCAGAACAGAATGGGGAAAACCCACAAGTCTGAGTGAGCAGCTCCATTTTGTTCCCTTCTGCCTCCTTAAGGTGATACCCTTATTTTACCCCTGGCCTTTGTGCTTTTTATGCTTTTTTAAATGCACTGGAAGACAGAAGTTCCTCAGGCTGACGTGGTCACTGCTGCAGGTGACAAGAGAGAGAATATTCAGCCCAGTGTGTGGTAGTTTCTTTTAACCTACAAATGGCTCTTCAAGGGTAACCCACTGCAGCACCTCCTTCGTTTTCCATGCCCTGATCCTCATCCAGAGGTTCTCCACCATCATCACTGACTGTAAGGGCTGTATCATCAAACCTCTCCCCCACCTGCCCTCCATCCCAGCATTCCAGGAGTGGGATTCATCCCACCAAGTCCCTTCAACACCAAGGTACTGCAGCTCTGGGAGCTGCCCAGCGATTCCAGTTCATCCTGTGCTGGTGTCCCAGCACTCCAGGTACACCCTGAGCCCTCCATGTGCCAGCAGCAGCCACCAGTGTTCACTGTCACTCTCTGGCTGGGTGCTGGAGATGCAGCTCCAGTCAGAGAACCTGGAGAATTGTAAAGGTTTGAGTCAGTTCTGGTGCTGCTGTCAGTTGTGTGCCTGAAGGTGTTCCACTCCAGCCTGGGAAGTGTCTCAACCCCCTCCAGGGGCTGTTTGCTCTGCTCAGCATTGGAGCTGCACTACAGCTTTCTCAGCTATGAACAACTTTTCCAAGTGATGTCACCACAGGAAAGGAGGGAATGCTTTTGTTGGACTTTACTGTGAGGCCTCCATTGTTATCCCTGTAGTCCTGGATTCATCCTCTAAAATAACTGACCACTAACCTCACCTCCTCACCTCTCCCCCCTCTCTCCCATTTACATTCAGGTACAAAATCCCAGACAGAGCATCACATTGATGTTTCTCTGTGTGGAACTGTCCAGTCAAGTCCAGTCCTGGGCCAGCAAGTCCTGCCCAAGGAACCAGGACTTGTGCAATGCTCACTGCACTGCCAGGTTTCTCTTGCTGAGCTGGAAGATTTTGAAGTAGGATAATCTTGTTTTCCTTCAAGCAGGGAGCAGTTCTGTGTTTGAGGAGGCTGTATCCAGTGTGTGTGGGGTGCAGTCACTGGTGAGAATCAGGAAGATTCCAAACCACACTATGCAATGAATGTTTGCTTCCTGGGACAAACAGGAATGGATTCAGCAAAATCCACACCAGCTGCAGCTCTGTAGTTCTAGATGCTGGTCTGGAATGAAAGCACAACTTGATGCATAAAGTCTGTAATATGATATGAATGTAAAATGTCAAGGGGAAACAATATAAAAAAGTTAATTATTTTTTCCCTGTATTTAGCTATGAAGAATGATGTGCTGAGCAGTTACTCTGTGCAGAGTTACTCTGCTGAGCAGTTACTCTGCACAGAGCTGGTGCACTCATGGAAGGGTTTAATTAGCAGGGGAAGAAATCACTGCTGACCTTGTTTATTAAGCCAGAATTAATTAACTCAAAAGGGTCATATTTTAATTTCAATGACTCCTGTGGTACAGATTTCTGAAATGGATCCATAGTACTTGAAAATACCTCAATTTTATTGATATTTTTCCAATTCTATCCGCTTCTACTTTATTACAGAACACTTGCAAACCTCCAGTCATTCTGAACAGATCACTGAAGGTGTTTGTGTGGCAGAGGGGCTGTTTTCATTCCCAGCCTGACCTGGCAGACCCTGCCCTGCTCACAAACACTGAGCTCGCACCCACTGCTGCAGGGTTTTAGTCTCCTGTCCTTTTTCCATCCCACTTTGAGTGTTCCCTCTTCCTCCTGAACATACAGTTAAGTATCTTCAGCTTTGAGCAGCTTGTGCTGGTTTTTTTGGGGTACTGTGAAGGTGAGTAGGTGTCATTTTATGCAGTTGTGCCACGCATTTTATTTGTAATTAATCTCTCTGTTTGTCAGGTATTGGTTTGTAGTTCCATCATCAGGCCCAGCTGGCTTTGCTTAGAGCAGGATCCCACTTCCTGCATTTTCTCTTTCCTAAAAGCCTCATTTCTTCATTCTCCAGCTTTCTTTTGGGATGTAAACCTTGTGAAATAAAATGTAAGTTTACATTTCAAATACAAGCCTGTAAGTTGCTCATGCCTGCATGCTCCTTAAAATACTGTTGTTTTCTGTATGAGGTTTTAAGATTTACAGCAGCATTTGTAAAACTTTAAATGTGGGTAAAAACTTTAAAAAGTGGGTAAATTGTTAAAAAAAAAAAAATTATGTTAAGGAGGGTGGAAAAAACCACAACCCCCAAAAAATCCAACAAAAATGACAAAGGGATCATCTCTGCTTCTTATTCCAGCTGTGCTTGAAAAGAAATACCTGCTTGCATCCAGTGCTGGTGTCAGACAGCCCCTGGAACATGCAGGTACCTGACCGATGGCTTCCCTGCTGCTTCAGTACTTCCTGAAGCACTCCTTGAGTTAAACCTTGCACAGATCCCACGGGAAACCTGAAACCCAACACCATCGGCCTCCCCCTCTCCTTTCTAACCGGGGGAAGGTGTGTGCAGCCCCTTCTCAGCACTTCCCTCTGTAAGAGGAACAGAAGCCCACAGTGAAAGTGTTGGTGTATTACTTCCCCCCCATTTTCTGGAGGATCCGGGAGCCCCCAGGACATGTCCCAGAACTCCCTCAGCATCTGGAATGTTGCTGATGTCATGAACTGCTGAGCTGGTGCAGGTGACCTTCCCTGGGAGGGAGGAGGTGGGACCTGCTGTTCCTCTGCTCTCATTTAACCCCATCCTTCTCTGGAATTAAGCACGCTATGGAGTGGCTTCCTGCTCTACTCAGAGCTACTCCAGAGTGATTCCAAATCTGTTGTTGGAGCAGGGAACTTTGGGTTAGGAACACGGGAAGCAGGAAAAGTCTTTGTTATTTTATAAATTTATAATCTGTCTGCTCAGCTGGCTGCTCCTCATCTGAAAATGCTGTTTGTGGTACAAATGGGTCCCTCGAAGATGGAACCGAGCTAAATCTCAGGATCAGGGAATGGCAGAGCTGTGGTGTATGAAACCCCAGGAGGGTTTTTTGCCCCTGGCAAATGGGGCTGGAGCAGAACCCCACTGCAGGGGCTGCTGTGGGTCAGGGGGATCCTTTGGGAGCTCCCTCTGGGGCGGGATCAGCGCTGCCATTCCTGATGGAGCTGACAATTGGGAAACAGCAGCAATCCCCTGGAGTGGTCTGGAACTGCATCCAGCTGCTTTTTAGGAGCCCAGCATGGCCTGGGGCTGGCAGCTGTTCCAGTCAGAACTGGTGGCTTAATACACATCTCTCCCCACTAATTCAGTGGGAATTCTTTTCCAAGGAATGTCACACTGGGATTGCTGCCCACACCTTTGGGGTGTTGTGTTCAGGAGTTTAATGCTGCTGCTGCTGCTGGCATTGAGACTTTTGATATCAAATGGGTTTTTACAAAAGCTTTGGATACTTGTTTTTACTGTTGGACCAATGTTCTGACTATGCTGATGCTCTGTGGAGTTTCACTGGCATTTTCCAAGTGTTTGTACAGTTTCTACAGCTGAATATCCTGTACGTTCTGCTTTGTTGTTTTTTATTATGGTTTCTACTGCACTGCAGGCAAGAACTGCATTAAAACCATTTTTGGCTAATTCATTAGACTTGTGAATGGTTATTTCCTACACTTGGGCTAAAGAGTTCCTCTCTTTAATTGGAATTGCTGCTTGGAACAGGGAAGGTTCTTTATCTGTGACAGAAAGATTCATTGGTGGGGCAGCCCAGACCTCAGCACTCCACTCACCTGATGAGAGATACGGACACACAACATTGCCTAACCCTGCAATTGTAGAATCTGGACATATTTTAAAATAATAATAATGGTTTATATTGTATTTATGGATTTCCCCAGAGTTACAGTAAGGGGAGGTACTGGCCAGCTGGGTGTGATGTACTTGATGCCAGGGGATTTAAAGAAAGGGATTTGGCTGCAGATTGATGTTTAATGTGACCAAACAATGAAGGCTGCTGGGCCCTGAGGGCCACACTTGTCTTCTAGCTCTGGTGCCCAGAGAACAGGACTAGAAACCAAGTTCCAGCTTTTTGCTGCAGTTTTCCTGTCATTTAAAGGGTTGGTGAGACTGACCCAGCCACAAGTTTTGTCTCTTAGAACTTCTGAAGTTCTCTTACTGTAGAATTTCCACAGGCAGTGCTGCTCCCACCCCCAATTCCCAGCCAGTTTGCACCTGTGCTGCAACAGGAATCTTCTTGATTCAGAACCCTTGGGCAAGACAACCAGGGATGTTTCACTATTTGAGAATAATGTTTGCAGAGCAAAATTCCAAGAGTTGTATCTTTGGTTCTTGGCCACCAGCCAAAAATCCACGTGGCTGCTCAGGAGGACACTGAGATCCAAGTGCACCCTGAGATTTGGAAGCACTGGGAGTGGCTGCAGCTGGAGTGATGCCAAGTGACCATAGAAATGAAGGACACTCCCTTGGGGTTTAGTTTGGTTTATTTTGCTCTTGCAGGTGGCCACAGACAGGCTGGAGAATAATAAATAGGTTAAAGCAGAGTGTGGCAGTTATAGAACCCCAACATGGAGATGCTTGACCGTGTAACCGGAGTGCTTTGTCACTGTACCTGATCCCTGTTCAGGCCGGCACTAACCTAAGTTAGTTGGCCAAAAAGGTTTTAAACATGCCCTTGACCAACTCAACAGTAATAAAATGTAAAAAAAACCTCTTGTAATGCCATAGAGTCATATCCAGTTGTTCCAAGACTGTCAGTCTGTCCCAAAATACTTCTGTCCAAAGTGTGTTGGTGCAACAGGATGCACTTCTGTAGTTAAAATGGTGATTTCTGGGAATTCCTGGATGATGGATTTGGCACCTTGAAGAGACAGCAAAGGCAATAATGACTACAGTGCTTCAGCCCATGTCAAATTGTGATCAGAATTGCAAAGATAAGTCAGGCTCTGTGCTCCTGTCTCCTCTGCCTGTTCCTGCCTTAGCTAACCATCTATGAGGGAAACTGCCTGACTTTGGGGGATTGCTTTTTTGGGGTTTTCTTTGGAACTGCCTTTCCCATCCACACATACTCCCAATTAAAGTGGTTACAGGCTGCTCTGCAGTTCAGCGGAGTTTTTTGTCGGTGATTTCTGCCATGGCCACTTTCTAATACAATACACAAGATCCTCTTTCCTTCCAGACAAGCAAATGTTCCTCATTTAGATCCCCTTTAACCTGCAGCCAGGCCAGTTCTGTAGCTCCATTCAGCTCCCACTCCTGGTGTTCTGGTGCTGGAACAAGGCCCACATTCCATGGTCCAGAGCAGCAGCTGGCCTGGCACTGCTCTGTGAGCCATGGACCTGGCAGTGCTGCAAACTCCTGCTTTTAGGAACACTCTCCCATTTGCAGTTTTGCCATTCAGTCTCCTCCTCACTGCCCACATCAAACACAGCACTGTTGGCTCACTTTTACAATTCAGCCAAAAAACCCCCAAACCTGTGAGAGGCACAGCTCTGCCCTGCCTGTCCCACGTGTGACTGTGCCACTGTCCCCAGCAGACAGAGCTGTGCTCACTCACCGTGAGGTGTGGAGAAGAGGCTGAGCAGGATGATGACGCTGGGCTGGACCCCGTGTTCCACGAGCACTTTGACAGCCTCGATGACCGTGTTCCCAGTACCTGAGAGGGCAAAGAGGGGACAGGGTTCAGGGGTTTTGCCCTGGCTGGTGAACTTGTCCTAAGCTGTCTGAGAATACCTGTGGTACAGATGGTACCCACTGGAAAGGCATCACCTCTGCATGTACTCCCTGTAGAAAATGCTGGTCTCCTAATGGCAGAAATTGGAGTGGACAAATAACCTCATCCCAACAAACTCCTTATTATAATAATCTATAAATGTCTCATAATAAAATAAGAAAAGCACTGAGTTTTTTCCCATGCCAAAATTCATATAATTAAATTTATATCAAGTCTTAATTTCAGCCTTTCTCCCAAAGGCAGCCATGCCCAAACGATTTGCTCTGCATTCACGCTGGTGCAGCAGAGTAATGTGTGTCCTGGCACAGCCTGATCCATTCCCTCCTCTGTCACCTAAACCAAGCAGAAAACCCAATCAAAGCCCCTGAAATGTGGAAATTTCCTTCCAGTGCCGGCACTCGGCGTTCAGAGGAGTCTGTCTGTCCGTGCTGGCGGCAGACACTCACTCAGGATCGGGTACATGAGCAGCACTTTCCTCCTGTAGATGTCTGGGGGGAACTTGGCGTAGTACACCTTGGCTCGCTGGGTCTCCTCGTCGCTCTGGATCAGGATTTTCCCGATGCGGATGGATCTGCAGCAATCCCGCAGGCCCTGCTCCATCGCCTCCCCTGCAAGGGGCAGCACAAACACAGCAGCAGATGCTGACACTGACAAAGGGCTCAGGGCTGCAGGGAAAGGGACAGTCCCCAAATGGACAGTCCCAAAAGGGACAGTCCCCAAAGGGACAGTCCCACCCCTGTGCTGGTGAACAGCTCTAAGCGTTCGAACACTTGAAGCTCTTTCCCTTTTTCCCCATTTACAGCAAACCGAGTCTCGCTGGTGTTGCTGAGCCCCTGGGTTTGGTGTTCCCACCTCTCCCAGGAGCGAGCTGGAAA